ATATATGCCCCCATCTCTACTTCGAATTAAACGATATGCGTTTCGTCTCAAAAGCTAGGGTTTTTATTTATTGTTCTGGATCCCCAAAATACGTAGCATTATTAGAATATCAACTCTTTAGTTACTTCGTTTAGGAATATACACTTTGGTTCGTTGTTTATTTAAAAGCTGATGTTAGAACAGATGTAAGAAAGTTACAACTACAGTTTCGTGTTTATTGATTTGTCGTACAGAAGTTTAGAAAATAGTACCTACCGAGACTTTGGGTTGATGAAGAGGCAGAGAAGTGTTTCGTCGAGGAGGAAACGACATGCTCGATCTGTCACTGTACTATTCACGATTTCTGGATTACCCCAGTCTGAATCCTACGAGGTTCAGGGAAATCAACTTGTTGGTCCTATAGGGGTTGGCGTTGATGTTAAGGAGATTTATAGTCGACCCAGTTAGATTCCGGGCTTTTCTCGAATGAGGAACAAGGAGCTTTCGATTTACGGGCATAATGAAGGGCCTTTAGTGCAGGATAGATTTTGAAGAGACGGGGTTATCATAGGTAGAGGATCTTCCGGTTGTATGACCGCTTAAAGAGGGAGCAGAAATCTCATCCTCACGAGTGGTAGCAGGAGCGTGAACAGATGAAGAATTATCGTCATGCTTAGGAAAACAGGCACAGAAGAATTTTTAGAGAAGGAGAGCAGATATGCCGAAAAAAGATCACCCACAGGTCTCTCGACGCGGACATCATTGACATCCCAACCAGGATATTTCTCTCGACAACGGCTCCTGAAGCGTTGAACAGAATATTGCTTCGTCCCGGCGCATGTTAGATTTAAAGTAGATGGTTATATGACACAACGACACGATATTTGGTGTAAATGGGAGGAGTGAACTGGAGTGAAGAGCCAATTCGAGGACCAATATTAGAAAAAACTTTAAAAAGTGTAAATCAGATGACCGCGTTTCGAATTGTTTGTCCGGGAGAGAGTAACCAAACAAAAATTTAATCCACTGTTCCTCCCCTCGTGGTCAATCCTTCTCGTTTGAGGATTTCTTATCGGAACCTACGGAAAACTGATGAACTACAAAGAATTATTCATTGCCAAATCTGTGCGATTCTAGGATGTCCGGTCACTCCTTTCATTGTCCCTGATCCTGAACTGGATCAGTAGGCAGAGCGGACATTGACAACGGTCTGTCGGCCCCTTTCTCGCTTTGAAGCTGTAAGTTGGACTTTGTTATCTCCAATAAAATTTACGCTTAAAACTCACCATGACGTTCCAAAACAGCTCCAAGTCGTCTATTCTACCCAACGTACGACACAATTATAGATGTAACTACTACAGGTACGACAACTAGGAAGAAGGCCGGACATGCTCCTAGTACGTGAAAGTGAAGCGGAACTACCTACCAATACTAATTATAAGTTAGTATATGAAAATTTGAGCAGTACGCAGCCGGGAACACTATGGATTACGATGCAATCAAGTAACAGTCTTGGTGTGCTCGGTTATCCGTCTGACGAACTCGCACAGACGATCTCCTGGCCAAACCGGGACGTAGAAGCCGCTTCCATAGCGGCAAGTTCTTGGTCCCGTCGTCTAACGATTTCCCTTTTCTTCTCCCGTTCCTTCTTCAACTCTTCGTCTTTTGTTTTGAACGCCGCCAAAGAGAAACCGGAGCTGACTGTATCTCCTCCTACGATAATCTCAACCTCATCCACATCCTCCTCATCCGAGTCGACACATTCTGGCAAGTCAGGAATGTCGTGTGTAAAGATGGGAGTGCAGTACTTTTCCATCCATTCGTTAATCTCCGTCTTCGCTTGCCCAAACTCGCTTTCAAGGTCGACTGCTGGCGATTTGGCTGACTTTGTTATGATTTCCGGAACTTTCTCCGAGTCATCAACTTTCTCGACCTCTTCTGTCTTCCCCCGTTCCGAACCGTCTCTAGCCAGGAAGGTCAAAACTGTCGGGCTGCTGACAAACACACGGAAGTCTTCAGAGTCAACGTCATTATCACACTCGACTGCGCAATTAGCAAACCCGACCCCGACGTTCGCTTTGTGCCAAATCTGATCAGTCACCGGCTCGTGTTGACAAAAAACCATGAATCCCGGATCGCTTTGCGTAATGGAAAGAGGTGGTGGAGCCGTGATATCAGAAGAGTCAAGACGATGTCGGGGAGCGCAAATGTTGATCCTCGGTTGAACGAAAGGACCTTCGGTTTGGAACAGCATGTCCCCCGGTGTATCTACCGGAGATTCATCGCTAACAGCGGAATGTAGCGTGGCAGGTGTATCTTCGAACGCATTATATCCCACAGAGGATTTGTGTAGAACGGGTGGGACGTGAGGATATGAGTTAGAAGTTTGGTGGAGTTGAAGGCCACCTAATGGTAGAGATTGATGTTTTCGAAGAGGAAAAGATGGAAGGTTCAGGTCGCGAAGAGGAAGTGGAGCTGGTTCTGAGTTCGTACGAATGTGGTTAGGAATGCTGGGCCGCTGCGAGTTCGATTCTCCGGTGAACAGAAGGGAAGACAAGGACGGTTTCGGCGAGTGCCCGAATATCTCTGGATGGGTCGCTTTCATAGTCTTGGCTACTAGCGAGACAAAGTCTTTCTGAGCTTTTCTCTGGGAATGTGTATATTCGGAGTCCGGGTCCGACAACGTGAAGTCACATGCAGGAAGGCTGAAGATACTGAGATCGGGAGAAGCGGAGAAGGTTGTCGGAGGCGTATCAGACCTCCAGCTTGCGTCTTGTTCGAAGCTACTGTCATAGCCCGAGCTGGTGGATTCGTAGCTTACAGCTGTGCTTCCCTCTTCGCTGTCGTGATATTTGTTCCTTTCCGGTACCGTGCCCAAGTTTGATGCCTCTACTTGACAGTATCCGAGACCAGTGTCAAACCTATCATTAGATTCGAGAGTGCTGTCACCGAGGGAGAAAGGGCCGGGAGCAACCTTGAACATGTCGATGAACTCGCTTCCAGACATATGGTGCCCCATGCCTACTACATTGAAGGTAGGACGTGGACAGGTGCCCAGTATCTGTCGTTGGCCAGGTATATGGTCTAAGGAAACACACACGTCAAGGAATTCTTCGCCTGACATGTGTATTTGGCCATTCCTCGGAGCCAAGGGAGTCGGCGTGATCTGCTCCAGCGGAGTTCGTGACCCCAGAGGCTCCTTGAGCTTGGGGAAGAGTTGGAAGAGGAGTGGTTCAGACTGAGGATTAGAGGGCTTTTCGAGCTGTCTCTCATTTCGAACAACTTCTCTATTCTCACGTCGACGAACTTCGGTAGAGGCTAGTGCGGTTCCACGCCCGAATGTCGAGCAGCTAGGAGGAATGGAACCGAACCAAAGTTTAGACTTGTTGAACTTGGGCTCTTGGTTTTTAGAAGTCGTAAAGCCGCTGGGCTCTTGGTTCGATTTCGAGCTTCTGGGGAGCACGGAACGGCTTTGGTCTGAATTCACATTCTGGTTATTTTTAGCCAGGAGTGGGAACAGTTTATGGAGAAGCGGTACGTTATTGCCAGATAACGAGTGGTTCGAAGCCGTGACTGAGTTACGTGGTATTTGTACAGTCTTGATAGTTGATAGGAGGCAGGAGTGAGGGCAATTGAGTAAGGATGTGGCAATGATGGTAGACAGAAATAATAGGAAGCGAAGCAAATCAGGTTTAAGCCGTGCCCAAGTTGCGAGAGCAACCCACCTCGATGTTCGGTTCCGGGAAATTGACTGTTTCTCCTTGAACCCGTCGACGAGCGTTCGCCTTCGAAGTATTGTTCTTGTTGAATTTCATTTGAAGTTATGATGGGAAATTTACTGAGTGGTGATCTGGTGGTTGAAAGTGGGTGTCAGAAAACGTTGGTTTCTTTTGTTTGAGCTTGGACCAATGATGCCACGCGACCCACCGCGTCTTCATTGTGGACGACACGGTGGGCTGATAATCATATGATCTATTGATGCTCTACTTCAGTAACTTCTGCGAACGCAATCATAAGGTATCGAAGTCCCTCTGATCCTGTGTCGACGCTATCCTTACTACTATGGGTAAATCGGTGAAAGAATCGTTCAGAAAATTAACCACACTGGTAAAAATCGTTCAAAATCAGTCTTGATTCCACTGCCTCTTTGCCAATTCGATTGAAGGATGAACTTGGAGATCGTCAGTTACCTCTGTCGTTATCTTTTCTTCCTTCGCTCTCAATCTCTCAACCTAAGAGATGATAGATTATTAGGTTTGACATCGTCCGCTGGTTCAGCTAGACCGGAATCTGAATCGGAGAGTAAACTACTCGCACCTTCGGTACCGATGCGAGGGGATGTTTGTCGTCCTGACTCTTAGTTGGCTCTCCAAACAATACGGGCTTTCAGGCTCTTCCTGGTGATCCTCTGACATTGAGCAAAGCTCAGAGCTTTGACCCAGTGGATGTCACATGAAACTGGAACACAGGCTATACCTCATCCTTGTGTATCACAACAGTTGAATCTCAACCACAACCTCAGCTTATCACACCGACGGTGGCAGCAAGTGTGCCAGTCCGAGCTCAGGGCATACTAACTCTTGCCACTGGAGAAGGAGAACAACCTTTCAAAACCCAACCTCCATCGCAAAGTGTCCCTATGATGTATGTACTGCAGCAGTTCAAGTTCAGAGCATTAATCACCCCATTGGAGAAAGAAACCAGCCTTTTCAGTGCTCAGCACGGTAATCCTTTGTCTGGCGTCGATTCTCCCATACCTCACGGTAACGACTTTGAGGAGTGTGCAGTCAGGATTGAGAGATGGAGAACCCGGACTTACTTGCATACACAGGCCCTTGCTCACGTTCGTGCATCGCTAACTTAATATTCAGATTATTTCATTATGACACGACTAGATATATATTCATCTATAAATGAATCCCGTTTGTGACTTCAAAATGGCTAGAGTCCGGAGCTAGTAGACATTAAGAATATAAACATCATCTAATTTATCAACAAAAGAGTACATACAATTATATTAATGGACACTAGGAGAGTCGAACTCCTGACCTCACGCAAAGCATCTACTTGGCAACTCTGCTCATGCGAAGCGTGCGCGCTACCAACTGTGCCAAGTGCCCAGCAAATGAAGTGTTTGGGCGCAATCGACCCGTAGTATTCATGGGTCAATTTATGTTCTGTACAAGCGTATACAAAAGCTCGCTGCGTTAATTCTGTTGTGCTATGACTCTGAAATGACCTTGAGACCATGCGTTCTTAACGCCTAATGACAATATCATAAGTATAGGTATGTGAAATAAGTACCTTTGAAATTTGAGATAATACTGTTATAAGTTCACTGGAAAAACAGCCTACTTTGATTTTAACACTGTCCTAGGCCTAATCTGAACGAGCCTGTACAGCATCTAACAACTCCTGCTGTGTAAAAGATATCGAGATTTCTATGACCTATAGAAAATAGGAAGACCCCGAACAAGAGGAACAGATATGCCATTGTCAATCAGGTCTATGACATACCCTCGCACTGGACCTAGGCACGACTTGCGACACCCTACGTACGGCCCAAATCCTATCCTTGATCAAACACCAACAAGGTGCCGTTCTTACGATGTTCAAGACTGGAAAGGTGCAACGTCCGAGTCATCCGACTTGCAGGCTTGGGTATTCCGCGATAACCGAACTGATGCTTTAACGGATGTCTTGCATTCGGAATCGATGCGTCAATTCTTCCGAGTTGTGCGAATTCAAATTTTCTCTCAGTTCCTATGATGGCGTGTGGATAATTCGATACGTTTCTGGATCTTCGCAGACACCTCCACACTGTGTCTTGGATTTTCCTAGAGAAGGCACGAAGTTTCTCTGTAGGATGTACATCCAAGGAAGCTTGCAGGTCATTCTAGAGCAGTTAAATAGTAGTGGGCTGAAGCAATGGTCTACGAACTCGGAACACCCTCTGTGACCCGAGTTTGAGCTTCTTTCTCAAAGCTTGACTTGGCTTATCTTGAATGCCAGCTCCAACACAAAGCGCGAATGAACCTCAGACAACTATTGACGTCGTAGATCTCATGTAGATATGCCATTAGATTCTTCAAGTTTGAACAAGGCAAAAACAAGCCCTCAGGAAAATCGCTTACAAGAACCAAGCAAATAGCGCCATCATGCAGAGAAGCAAAAATCTTTCGAATATATGAGTAAAAAAGTGACTCGAAGGTCCTCCACGCGAACAAGTGGGGCGTTTCCTTATCGATATCAAAGGAACCCATATTTAATAATAACACCACTTCAAGAAAGCTCATCCAAAATACACAATTCCAAACGGTCATCCTGACGACGCGACGTCTCTCAATCAACAAAGAAGACGACCGAGGAAAAGTTTGGATTTACACAAAAGAAGTCCACCACTTCAAATGTACAAACTAGAATCCAGAGCTAGGAGACATTACTTTAATAATGATATTTAATTTGACGTAAAAAGCAAGGCAGCGGAGTGGACACTAGGAGAGTTGAACTCCTGACCTCACGCAAAGTTAGCGGCGGGTATTGTTTATGCGAAGCGTGCGCGCTACCAACCGTGCCAAGTGCCCAGTAAATGAAACCATTGGGCGCAATGATCAATCATCTCGTAGTATTTATAAGTTAATTTATCTTCTGGACAAAAAGACTACTGCGTTAATTCTGTTGTGCTATGACTGAAATGACTTCTTTTGAGACCGTGCATTCCGTGCGCCTAATGGACAACATCATATACTTGGGTATGTGAAATAAGTACCTTGTTTTGAGACTTGGGATTTGAGATAATACATTCCGGTCACCGCTAAGTTCACTAGAGAAACAGCCTATCTTGATTTTAACACTGTCCTAGACCTCACCTAAATGAGCTTGTACATAATCCTTTAACGTTTAACATCTAACAACTGCTGCGTAAACAATATCAAGGCTCCTATGACCTATAGAAAATAGGAAGGAACAAATATGACATTGTCAATCAGGCCCTTCCAACTATGACATACCCTCGCACTGGACCTGGGCACGACTCGGGTCGGAAAACAGATGAAAAATAAGCTTCCTTGCCATAACCATGATCGGCGTTCTAGGCCAAAACTCAATTGAAGCCTCCCTGACAAAAACATTTCCGTACCAATGCCATGCTGAGAGGATGACTTTTCCTTGACATATCTCCTATCTGAACACAAAATGAGATCGAAGGATTGACGACGGAGTCTGGTTTTCATCGACCTTTAGCTTCAGGTTAGAAGCAAGAACAACAATGAAGCAAGTGACCAGTCACCAACAAAGTTTCTAGTTTTCCAGCAGTACATGATGTACGCCGCCACTAGGCTCCAACCCAAGCCGTATCCTTGCACTAAGAGGAACCTCATCTCCAGCAAATCCAGTTCATCCTAGAAAACTCCCTCCGGGTCGGTTAACCTGTCCATGTGATCAATCGGGCACAGATGAGGGGTCGAATCGTGATTAATCGTCTACCTTTGGCATAAAAGTACCCCTCGATTAACTCATTCCTCGATTATTTTTTGATTACCTATTTAGAACCGCTGCACCGGCGGTTGACGTTGACAGCCACGCACACTATCTATTTTCTCTATTGTCCACTCTATACTCCGCTGTACCCGAGTAGAGGTATACGTAGACAATCGCGTCGAACTTAAAAGGGTCTGAGGTGTTCATACCCTCATTCGTCTGTCCTTCTGACAATTCTCCTGTCCCTTCTTCAGCCACCGAAATTGTCGACAAAGATGGCGACTAGTCTTTTCTTCCCATCTATTGGCCTTCAAGTTCTCGTTTGTTTGGTTTATTTTCTTGGTGCGTCTATCGTTGGTTTATGTCCAAACGTTTATTGACTCGCATTTTTTCTCCCGAACGAATCTTGTATGTCTTGTAGGTATCTCGACCGTAGCCCACTGCGTGTCCAGACGTCTCCCGGATATCATACACATTCGTCAGACATCATGGACCCGGCTTCTCATACCACTAGTCTTCATCGATTCTTGGCTATTTTTATTCACTAGTAAGTTAGCTTCAAAGCTCTTGATGATGATGACTACCTCGATCTAACAAAACGTTTACAGGTGGTATCTTGATCTTCGGGGTCGGACTCGAAACATCTCTGTCTGTCTGCATGACAGGGATATTTCTCTGCATTGTGTTCTATACATCTTCCAAAGTCTTGCTCTATATCGTCTTAAGTACGTACCGGAACCGGTCTCCCTGCCATTAACTATTTGATAGGATCATTAACTCGTGATTTCTCCCGTTCTCTTTCTTTTTGTTACACAGTGGAGAAAGTTCACGTTGTATGGTCAACTTCACATAACACCCCACGTATGAAATCCCCGGTGTATCTAGTCGGCCTTGGCACAATCTTGCTTTACGTTGTCGTCGCAATCGTTTTAATCATCGGAAGGGTGCATTACCTTAGTGCAAAAGACGGGTATTGCTATATTGGCTTGAAGTTTTATGCGTCGTTAACTTTGTTGACCTATGACTTGTAAGTAATTTCAAGATCGTCTTTCTCCTCATCATAATCTAATCATGCTCGTGTACGGGAACCTCATTTGGGCAGATATATCACTCTTCTCCTCACGGCTCTCTTCTTATGGCCTTTAACAAGATCAAAACTCAAAAACCCAAGGCTTCAACGAGTTGCTTCTCGGAATTTAGTGTCAGTCTATTTCTCAATAAACTTATTATCACGAGAACCTCTGATCGAATAGATGATTGCTTTGAAACACAGATCTGCTGGAGTGGCACTCGCAATGTCCACAGTAAACATCGCTATTCTAACCGCCTGGCATGGAAAAGAACGTGGATGGATGTGTCTGGCATGTTGTACAACCGATGTAAGTTTCTAAAATCCGTGTGTAACCAAAAGTTCACTCACTAAAGTTGAATGTCATTCAAATCTATTGTACAGATCATCTTCAACGCCCTTGCCCTCTTTTGGGTTACCAAAGATGCTCAATCAAATTCCACACCAGGACATAATCTTGAGTCTGCAAACGGACCTGATATCACTATCTCGGGTGGTAGGAGACTCGGACTAGACGCATCACCGGTACCAGTGATGATGAAGACCTTGAAGCACGATCGAGACAATACATCCGGACTCAGTGGGGTTACCGTCACAGGAGAGTTTTCGAGAGAGTCAAATGATCCAATTTTTCGAGGACAATCGGTTCAAGTTGTGGTGACTACTGTTAAGGAGAGGGATGATGATTCTTATGACGTGAGTACGGATTGAATTGCAACCGTTTTGAAGTGGAAGTTGACCATATTATGTACTTTGATTTTTAGGGTGAAACTAGCGTCAAGAGAACAGATATCTGATAAAATTGCTCCGTAGTTCAAGCTCTGGGGGTTATTTATTCTTTCGTCTTTTATTTTGGGACTTTTTGGAATTGGGAAAATGAGGAATGGATTGTACACCTATATCTACTCTGACATCTAATAGACAGATTTTTATCTAACCTGCGAGTTCTGGTTCTCTTCAGTACTATGATTTATCCCGGCCTTCACATTACCGCGGCCGGTGTAAACTTTTAAGAGCTCTGGCAGGCTTATGTAATCCATCCGACCTCTCTTCCGTGACCTTCGCGAATTCACGCAGCCGGGTATAACAATGGCCTCGCCTAGTCAGCTCGTTAGGCCCAGCCAACTACCGGTTATTACGGCTCTTTTTCAGCTCTGTTCTTACTTGCTTTCTTCAACCGTTCCTGGGAGAGCTAAGGGTATGTTCGAAGTTGTGAAAAGACTGATGCTAGGCGAGAATCCAGGCTGGAGCTCAGTGGGTAGAGTGTTTTTATGGGCTTTGCTTGTCGCGAACGCGCGTGCGTTACCTTTTGTATGGCATGGTATGTTTCCAGTCCTCTTTAGAAGGGTGCTAGCTAGGAAGGACTGATAACGTGTCTGATAGTCAGGGTCTTTAGACCTCTCATTTATGTCCGCTTTGAGCAGCTCTCTATCATGGCCAAGTGTATGTTTTCTTCCAAGAAAACAAAGCTACGTGTCATGGAGGAGTGGATAGAGAGTATCTCTCCTATTGGGCAAAGTCCGTTGGGACCCGTCGTGGTGTACAAAAGTTTTGCTAGTGTGTATTGCTCTCTTCAGCGTCTGTTTTTTCTCAACTCTACTGACAAAACAATGTGATATGATTTAGGTTTTGATGAATGTGACTATAACTTACATCTTTCTAATTCGTCCTACGCCAAAGCGCTTGACGGTGCTCGTTTCAAGCTCGCCCGTGAACTGTTCACCCAATTTCTACGTGTTGGCGGACACATGCCGCTTGCGGCGACTCATTTCCATTTCATCAAGGAGATACCTGTTTTGAATCCTTACGAAGTCAGGGTTAGCGTGGGTAGTTGGGACGAGAAATGGGTGAGTCGTGACTTCTTTCTTTTTTGTTGTTAGTTGGGTGTACTGATTGTGCATATATGTAGGTATACATTCTTTGTCGATTCGTGACCAAGAAGAAACCAGGCCAAAAGAAATCCTCTCCTAAAGATAAAACCGGCGTCAAGAACGGATCTCCAAGCACTCCATCCATGTTCGACCACGCGCCCGTCTCCGACTCTGGTACACCCTCTCTCTCCTCGACCGGTACCCCAAACCCGACTATCACCATAAACACTTCCTCTCCCATCCCATCGTCCTCGCAGACCGACCCAGAACAGACCATCCGAACCCTGACATCCAAACTCGCTTTGTCTTCGCAACAAGCCGAAGACGAAGAAGGATACACTCTTCACACCGTCACTGTCTCTCTCATGTGTTTCAAGATCGGAAGAATAACCGTTCCTCCGAATTTGGTCATGGCTGCGAGTGGGTTGTGTGCACCTCCGACTTTATCTTCAACAGCCAGTCCTGAGGAGGTCGTCGTCTCTTCGGCGAGTTCCTTACCCAATCCTTTCTCTCCAGCGATGCTCACGCCCGATTTGGCTGACGGGGAGTGGTCGTCGTCGCCGTCGTCGAACAATCCGAGCGTCATTCTTACCTCCGCATCACCTCTTTCACCTTCCGAACCTTCAAAAGGTACAACTACAGAGCTCTATCCTCTTCAACTCCAAACAACCCAAACATCTATTCCCGTTCCCGTGAACGGTCTACCTCCATCGTCGTCAGAGAAAGAGAAAGAGAGAGAGAAATGGAACGAAATCCGAGAGGATTCTTATTCTTATTCTCACGAAAACCCACCTCCGCATTGGAAATGGGTTCTTGGAACGATTTCGGCACCTCATGGGGGTTCGGTGAAGAAGATGAATAGGTTGATGAAGGGGGTTTGGAAAGAGATTCCGAGGGATCCTAGTCCTAGTGTGCAGGGTGGTGATGGTAGCGGTGTTAAAGCTGAAGTAGGAGAAGGACTGTGGCATGGAGAGTATCAAGGTGGGAGGTGGTGGGAGAGGGCGTTGGAAGGGTTGGAGGAGGAGAGGAAAGAGAGGTTAGGGATCTTGGAGGGGTTGAAGATTGCGATGAGTGGGGTGAGAGGGTTGAAGTAGAGGGGTTTTTTTGTGTACTGCGTGGGTTATGGGGGGTTAGAAAAATTAAAGGTCGTGTGCTGGTAGATCTAAAAAATTCTAATTGACATCTATAGACTTACTTACTTAGTCGTTTTTTTACTTACTTCTATTGTTGTTAAGTTAAGTAGATTACTTGTTCTCTCAATATTGCTTAAAATATTTCTTTGCGTGTGGATGTTACCTGTTCAAAAACGTTCATACGGAGTTGTAGTAATACATAAAGTACATAAATCACATAAATCAAAAAGTAACTTTCCCTATTAGATTTTGACACTTATAGATTTGACCCTAGATAATCCTTTCACGGTTCGTCGTCCAATCCACCTGGCGTCCAACTTCAGCTCAACCTCTGTAACCTCTGTAAATCTGCGACACTGGAAAGAGAGAGGGGGAGAGGGAGAGGGGGGGTAGGGAGGTGGTTAGGTTTCAAGCTTTCAATCCATTTTCCGGAGTCGACTCTGGGATCTCCAAGGCGGTACCGGGTTTACACATCAAATCGAAAGTTTCTTGAGAGTATGGAGGGTAACGTGTCTTGAAGACAGGTTCGATTCTGGGTGTTCAACGATATGTATGGTGTCAATAAATCATGTCAATCGAGAGTCGAGAGAGAGAGTTGGAATGGACAATAAGATATGTCAATTGAGAGTTCGAGAAAAAGAAAGTTAGAATGACGGGTGACAAGTGACAAGCGGGAAGGGAAGAGGGGAAGGGAGAGGGAAGGGAGGTATGGAAAGTAAGCGAACGGAAAGGAAAGGCAAAAACGCAAAAAGGAAAGACTTACTCTTTAGGAATCGTGAGACAACTGCGTTTATAAGAGAACTCTTCAAAGGTGTATTGGAGGACTTGGGAACCGTCTTTTTTTTTGTTTTTTTTTGAGGATGAAGATATGCATGAGATGTAAGTTAGGATAGGAAGGAAGGGACTTACGACCGGATTCGCCTACACCGCCGAAAGGCATTTCGTTCACTAAAAGATAAGAAGAGTCAGATTTAGTCGAGCTGTGCGTGGGTCGTCGGAAAACGGGGGGACGGACCATCGAGTTGTATGAAAGTGTCATTGAAGATCAGAGCTCCGCTCGCTGTACCTTCACGAACTACAAAAAGAAAAAGAAAAAGAAAGAGGAAGTGTCAGTATCTAACTTAGAGGCGCTACTCGACTGACAAAAGAGCAAAAAAAAGAAAAACACTCACTCCTCGTTTTAACCTCCTCGTTATCACTAAACACATACATCACCAACGGATGATTCCTACTACTAATAAACTCAATCGCATCGTCCACCGTATCGACTTCCAACAGAGGTAAAACCGGTCCAAAGTTCTCCCCCTGCATCAACGCGTCTTCCGGTGTGATCCCAGTCAAAATCGTCGGTTCCATCTTGAACGTTTTCGGATCCTTCCCTCCCCCAGTAACCACCTTTCCTTTTGTCTCTTCCAACAACCTCTCCACTCTCCTATAATGCAACTCATTAATAATATGCGCATAACTCTCACTCTCCAACGCAGGTGATCCTTCAGGAAAACTCTCTTTATAAGCTTTTTGAAAACCTTTCACTAATTCTTCCATCAACCCCGGACGTGATTTCGTAGGCACGAGAACGTAATCGGGAGAAACGCAAATTTGACCAGAGTTGGAAGTTTTACCCCAAAAGATTCGTTTGGCTGCTAGCTCGATGTCGTCGAAATCAGGGTCGATGATCACGGGGGATTTGCCTCCCAGTTCGAGTGTGACGGGTGTGAGATGTTTTGCGGCTGCTGCTGAGATGACGCGTGCGACGGTGCCGTTGCCTGTGTAGAAAACTGGATTTACCAAGTATTATTGTTTTTTGGTTTTTTTTTTTTGGTTTTGGTGGTGGTAGGGTGTTTGCCGTGATTTGAACGGATATGGAATGATGCCGAATTTTAAGGAACGCATCCATCGATTGACACCGAATGAAAGAGAACATATATGGTTTAGAGTCAAGTCAGTCAGTTGAATGAAGTGTAAAAACAGAAAAAGGAATAGAGTTATCCGCACTGTGATTCCATTTGAGCTCGAGAAGTCTGGTGACCTCTGGAACACCGCCAAGAACGACCCGATACGCGCGTTGGTCGAGATATCTGGGAAATATATCCGCTACGGCCTCCGCGAAATGAGAAGAGACTTCGGATAGCTTGAGAACGCAGCAACACCCGGCTGCGATGGCACCGAGAAGAGGTTGGAAGGAAAGGACCACAGGGTAGTTCCACGGACTGAACAAGGGTAACAAGGTTTGTGTGTGTAACACAGTTGTATTTAGGGTGGGAGACGTTAAACCAAAATGAGAAGGATGAGACTACGGGAGGGAGAAAGAACAACGCACGCTATGACGACGCCGACACCTTTTGGAGCTTTGTATACTCGCGGTTTCCACTGTTTCTGGTGGGGTTTGGAGACGATGTCTTCTCTGTTCTCGACTTGAGTCCATCCGGGGAGACGTTGGGCAGTTAGGACGCAACGTTCCATGATTGGGTTGATCTCGCACAGGTAGACTTCGAAAGCGGGTTTGCCAAGGTCCTGCGTTCGTGTTTTGTGATTTCTTTAGCAAGGGTTGCGTGCACACACGCACGACGTGCGCAAATAGACGTAGGTCTGGAGGACATACCTGCCAAATGGCATCCGCAATGCGGGCGTGGTTTTCTTTTAGCATTCTGGCCAGCTGGAGAGCTTGGTGCTGGCGGAAAGCCAAAGGAAGGGTGAGCTTTGTCTTGAAAGTCTTGTGCAGATCCGTATGGATCTAAGTCAAGGCGTTCGAAAAGTGAGTACACTTTTAAGGCGTCGTTGGCCATGGGTTTGAATTGCAAACCCTTACCTGCTCAATTTCGTCGAAAGAGGTGTATGGCATAGTTAGCGATGTCTATCTGGTGTAGGATGTGGGGGAGGGAATTGAGGGGGTAGAAAGGGGGCCTTGGGTTTTAAAGGAGATCACAGGGACATGTTCAATATGTTATTCAGTCGTTTCCATTCTTGGTAAAGATTCTCCGCCGATCCTGTTCAGGGCTCACATGGACGTCCCTTTATCCGAGTTTATCGTCCCAACGTCTTTCCCAAATTCGACCTCAGGAGTCCCATCGTCTTCCACGGGCAAACACGTCCTTATCCGAATAGGGGTCTTCGAATCCGTGTCGCCTTAATTTGAGGTTCATGGGCACTTGGCACAGTTGGTAGCGCGCACGCTTCGCATTTGCTATTTGCGTGAGGTCGGGAGTTCGACTCTCCCAGTGTCCATTTGGATGACTGTCTGGATTTTTTAACTCAACGTCCACATTTCCTTCAGATCTGAATCAGCATGGACGTCCCTTTATCGTCCTTGCTATATTGGACCTCAGAGTCCCGTCGTCTTCCACGGGCAAACACGTCCTTATCCGAATAGGGGTCTTCAAACCCGTGTCGCCTTAATCGAGATTCAAGGGCACTTGGCACAGTTGGTAGCGCGCACGCTTCGCATTTGCTAATTGCGTGAGGTCGGGAGTTCGACTCTCCTAGTGTCCAATTTGAAGACTTCTGGTTTGGTTTTTTTAATTCAACTAGTGTTGCACGCGACTCGACTCCGCTCCGGCTAGTCGCCGAGTCGAGCCGGTTTTTGAGTCGCGGCTTGACTCGTGACTCAAGTCGGCAGAGTCATTTGGAGTCGAGCCTGAATTTTGTTCCAAATAAACTGGAATTTCACTGGAGTTTCAGGGATTAAAACAGTTCAGTGCTCTTTAAAATATACCTAATGACTTCAAAAAAGTATCTAGAGCTGAAGATAGTAGATAGAAATGTATTCGGAAAATTGTTCGAGATTGGTATGACCCTGTCATAACCAGATTCTCACGGCTTTTTCATGACCGAAATTCACATATCAGCCATTGTACAAGGTAAGTACTTATTTTTATTAACTTCACTTACTGTATCAACTTCTTACAAGCTATTATACTTACTTGCAGCACTTTTACTACCTCCTTCCTTGAGGAAGCCATTTTCGACCGACTCCAATTGACTCGAGTCGGAGTCGAGTCAATTTAAATGACTTTTTTGCCGAGTCGAACCGAAGTGAGTCAGAGCCGAGTCCTGACATCACTAAATTCAACGTCCGCATTTCCTTCACATCAGCATGGACGAGCATGGACGTCCCTTTATCGTCCCAACTTCCCATATTCGACCTCAGGGGTCCCATTGTCTTCCACGTCCTTACTCGAATAGGGATCTTCAGATCGTGTGGCCTTAATTAAAGGTTTAAGGGCACTTCACACAGTTGGTAGCGCACGCTTCGCACTTGCTAATTGCGTGAGGTCGGGATAACCGAGGGTCCTCTTCACAATTTTTTTAGCGACGTCCGCATTTCCTTCACATCAGGGTGCATAGGCTGCAACGAGAAACATGACTTTTTTTTAGTTAAGAAACGGCCCATTTGTCATTAGCCCCACTTTCAAAAAATACTATGATGCCAGTGCAAGTGGCACATCTGAGTTTGTATGCCGACTACTTTGTCGATGGGACCGAGGCGACAACCTGTCAAGAATTGTTGGGCAGCAGGTAGAGGTCAGCATACAGCGAGAAGCTCATACAGATAGTACACTAGCGTTTTTGTTGACGTCGTGTAGCTCTAGATCTGTCGAAGAATGTATATACATGTTTTCCTTTACGTTCCGTTTCTTTAGTCCCATATTCGAATTTCTTTACGCAGCCCCATTTTCATTTTTCTGGGTCTGGCCGTCATATTTCTCGTTGTATACTATTTTGTACGGGGAAGCTGCGCAAACGGGGAAGCTGCGCATTTGGCAAATATCTCTTGTATTAGGTACTTGGGTGTGCATTTGGGGGTCAATATCCAGAGCAGAATACAGCGTTTATTTGCATACGAGAGCTCGTTTAGGTTGCTTCAGTGCTCATTGAGATATCGGATCAAGATGGTGCCATTTTTGGCAAAACACGTGAATTCCTTACATCATCAATTGATCAAACCTCTGTGTTCGTGGCTCTGGGCATTTGCAGCGAGCGTTGTGTGCTGCTTACTAATTGCCACGCGAGCAAATTTTTGACACCAACCGGTCCAACGTCGCTTGTCCCCGAAACATACATTCTCTTTACATCGGCGGTGATTCCAACACTTCTAGAAGCTATACGAATTACGGTGGTATGTATGTTGACTCTCAGGATAGGGTACTATACATAGTTTTGAATACATAGATTAATCAACTTCCATCTCGTCCTCATTCTCCTCTTCCCAACTTTCCAAAATCAAGTCCTCTGCACTCGCCGATTCAAATAATGCCTTGCATGATGGACGCCCAAGCTCATTATACCTCTTTAAAACACCCCGCAACACCTCTGCTCTCTCAGCCTTTTTCCCACACTTAGATTTCTTGGGAACTTCGAGGACTTCCATCAAACGTAACACGTCCAGTTGGTCATCAAGCGCCGCAACTGTCAACGTTGAATTTACCTCATCCGCTTCTCTCAATAAAACCACCTTGGATAGCCTTTCCTTCCGTTCCCTTTCCTTCGAATCCTTTGCCTGCTGCTTCGCCTTCTTCAATGCCACAACTCTCTTATTGAACTCCACCTGTTCCTTCCGCCGTTTAGCCTCCATTCCACTCGCATCAAGAACTCGAGCCTCTCTCATGATATACCGGAAATCTTCGTTGGTAAATTTGGCATCCATGAAGGCTTGGGTGTCATTTCGAGCATACAGTACCATTGCGTTGTACTGCTGAATAGTGAGTGTCGGTTTGAAACGCATCATGACACGATAGGAGCCTAACGCTCCTTCATTCACATCATTGGTAGCGGGCATCCATGCATCATCCTTTTCTTGCTGGGTTGCGAGATCAATCAAACTCCCTGGGGCAAATTCAGCAGTAAAGCGGATGTACGTTGCCAAAGCGCCGGTCAAGAATTCAATGAGGAGATCCTGAATGTACGGAAGTTCTTGAAGGCGGGAATGAACTGCTTTAACGACATCAGGCTTTTCCCATGGCCGTCCATCAAGGGAAGCTAGTAAGTATGTATCTTCCCCTGGGGTCAAGAGAAGAGCCGGATTATCAATCAGCTTCTGCATGTGCTCACGAACCTGCTCATGCCATGGTCCTAAATCTAGTGCGTTGACACTACTGCTTTTACGCACAACACGCAGGTATGGGACAGTGATCGCTTGATGGACCAAGCCCAGTACTGCAAGTTCTTGACGAGTCTGCGGGCATTTCAATGCATTTACAAGGTTTTTCTCGATATTAGTCCATCCAGGTTGGTTTTTCGTCAATTTGACCGTTTCGAGGAAATCAATGTAGTGTTTGTCATGTAGGAATAGTACGCCTGCCGCTGCGCCATGTGAGGCGAACCGAGTGTTACTGGTATCCGGAAACTGTTCGAAGTCATCTTCAAGTAAGTCTCGGAAGTGCGCAATGTACACCTTTCCCTGACCCTTTCGTTCATCTCTGTTTCGAAGAACTGCTCCTGCAATAGCTGCTGTTTTAGCACCACCACGAGTAGATGCTTCGAGAGCTGCAACTTCGGCATCGGTGAGTTTTCTTCCACGCTGTGCATTGGGATTAAGCACCGGCTCGAGCGTTGGTGCGTTATGTTTATTAGCGAGTACAATTGGACCCTCAAGACCATGCTTATCCCAAAAAGCCATCATATGTGCGTTTCCGGCCTTGAAGCTGTTCTGATCTTTATGCATACAGCATCCAGTCCAGAAAAACTGATCGATGGTGCGTCTCAACGACTCGTCAAGGCCATCATAGAGCTCTTGGCCAAGCTCAAGCTTCAATTCCTTCATAACTGCAGCATCAAGTGCGGCCTGTTCCACTCTCGACAGATTATTCCAAGCTTCGGGACCCCCTGCCTTCGCTATCTTTCTATCGTGCGTGTCTCGAAGAACTCCAAATAAATGCATAATATCCATTTCCAACATCTTCTCCTCGCCCAGCTCCTCGATGGCCATCTCATGCTTCCATTTTTGGATATGATTAGCAGTCACTTTTTCGTTGTTGGCATGATCCCCGTTCATTCCTTTAATCTTTTTCGCGATTTTTTGAATTGTAAGCGAAATGCCTTCTCTCTTGAATAACGGGCTCTGGGTGTACGTGCTGATGATTGTTGAAAAATTTTTCAGCCAAGCCATTTTTGACTCATCGGCCGAGTGGTCAAGTGTTGGTGCGATCGACAAAATACGAAGCTTGGGTTGTTCCGAAAGGACACTAGTTTGAGTCCTGTAGTCAGGCGTGTGAATGGCCAGATGTTCGACCTCGATATTTTGATGCTTATGGCCCGTGCTATCTTGACTTAACGTGGTAGCTGCAGGAGAAAGCAGGTGTAAGTATTTTTTGTAATTTAATGAAGAATTTCTTACTTGGGATCAAGGATAACTCGTATCCTAGCTGTACCTGTGCAGCAACCCATCCTTCAAGAACTGCTCTCCCAACCGTCCGTCGACTCATCTCATTCTTCACCTGTATACCAAAGAGGTTGGAAACAGACTTGATTATACCCCCAATCTTTTCACGAGCACACCCATATTGCACAAGCTTTCGAGCAAGAGCACGCATCTGAGGTGTGTAAGTCCGGTTTTCCTTTAACTTTGCGACAACTGGTAATCGACTCTTAGCCCTTTCAAGCCTGAGAGGAATGCGAGAACAGCGAGCTTTAAGGGTGCGTATCAATTTTTTGTCCTCGTTCTTTTGATTTCGGAGTATGTCGATATGACTCTTTAATCTCTGGAGCTCCCGCACATAGTCCTCGTGAGTTGACACCATCTGTTTCTCCACCTTCGAGTGGGCCTGCCTCATGATAGACAACTCTGAAGAGATCTTGTAGATTTGTTCACGAAAAGTGGCATTTCTTGCGGCCTGTCGAGACATCTTCCTCTGGGTATTCTTCAACCTTGCAGTCACCTTCTCTAGTTTCGATTTTGTCTCCTCCAAGCTCGTCCTCAACCTCTCTTTATCCTCCAAGGTTCTTTCCTCATTCTCCTGCATGGTCTTCTGCTGCTTCATTAGGTATGTGTTCTGCTGTACGAGCTGTTTCTTCGTGAGCTTGATTGAAGGGGTAATTGTCTGTGGGTCGATGTTTTCCTTGTTCAACCATCGTTTTTCACGTCCTTTGCTGAGTGATTTTAGTTGTAACGGGGTTCTAGAAGGTTTTTGGCGTCCCATTGAAGCCTTTTTCACGTTAAAGACACGTAGGGTACGAGCGAGTCGGAAAGACGAGGATTGTTGATTGGGTTTACGTAATGCGTTGGGCGCGTCTGAAGGGGACCCGACCTTTTCATTCGTATTTTCAGCTCACGATGCCGCTATGCTCTAAAATGACATTGTCAAGTAGGATATTTAAGATGTATCTTAATTTTGGCAAGAGGAATTTTTCATAGCTTGACTTTAAGTACCATTTCTACGTTACTTGTATAGCGTATTTCAGCAAATAATCATTCTTATAAAATTTCCTCTTAACAATTTTTACTACCTATTCCCAAAACAATATTCCGACGTTGAGTCTGATAAAAGAAGATC